GACATTTGTGACAGTGTGCTAAGCCATAAATTGTGGTTTGATTCCCACAACAAACATGTTTCAGTGTGGTTTTGACATCAGGCAGTGTTTCAGCCCAGTTGTGCTCTCCAGCTATATTACAAGAGGATTTTGAAACAATTGGGGATGGTGAGAATAGGAATGTGGTGCCTGTTTTAAAGCTTTCACTCTGGAGCCTGAATTTCCCCTCTCTTCCTTTCTTAAGTGTGGAGCTTGGAAAACAACTGGCCAAGAAAATTGAGCCTGAACTGGCATCTGATGCACCAGTCACCTCCCATGATGCCTCCACTAACGGGTTGATCGCCTTCATCAAGAAGAACCGAGCCTGACCGCAACAGGCTGCCTGGCAGATGCCCAGATCACCGTTGTAGCTGCTGCTTTGTTAGCCACTTCCCAGGCCAGGCTTCTCAACAGTTCTGGCCTCATTGTTCCTAATGGTTAGCTTTGTTGTGTCGGAAGCCGTGTTCACAAAGGAATCCTGGGGAAAAACCTGACCTAATGACTGTTTCATGGCAACTGTGATGTGTAGAGCGCCGCATCCCTCCTGTGTCCGTCCCCGTGCCTAGTCCTGCTGTGGACGGGAGCAGCCTGTAGGTGGTGATTAAACCTTTGCCATGTTGTCTTGTGAAGACCCAGCCTTACCTGCACAGAAATAAACCAGAATTAATCATCACATTTCTCTATCCTTCCTTATTTGGACTGTAAATTCTCTTGGTCTGTGTACAGAGGGACTCGAGCATCCTGAGGCCCTGGACAGTTAGATTTTTCATCCTCAGTAAAAAGGCTTCAAACTACCTCCAGACTTCCGGTCCAGAGATCCAGGGCGGTCTCCCTATTTGAGCACTTCTGATTCTCTTTGATGAGTTTCTCCTGTTAAGTCCATTTTGACATCAGAAGTCATCACGAGGGGAAAAAATGCTGTCAATTGAGGTTTGTAACACAAATCCACAAATATTCAGAGGTTTCCTGGAAAGGAGGGGGCATCTTGAAGGATTGCAGACCCCCCTGAGCCCCTCCACCCCTTTGTTCTCTCTTCTCTGGTTCTGCCCTTTAAGGAAAGATTGAGAATGTCTAATGGTCCGCAGACCAGGTTGGGGGCATCAAATTCCATCTCTCTTAATTTCCAGAGAGCCACTTTGTCCAAAAAAAAATGATTAAAACGAGTTGAAGTCCACAAGTCTTAAAGTTGCCAAGTTGGAAGACCTCTGTTTAGTCTATGAAATACACCTCACACACCTTTTGCTAAGATCACCAGAGGAGGGGGGCCCAGAGGGATGGAGATCCGGAGTAGGGAAATTAGCTACATCTGAGATGGGGTGGATAGCAGAAGGCCATGATCTCTTCTCAAACTTACAGGAGAACACATTCAGGTGGCCTGCCAGTTGTTTCTCTGCAAGAAGGGAGTGAAGTCATCTGTAGCCAATGATGATCTTCAGGCTTCTCCAGTTGCAGGTTCATTAGCAAAGGGCTGGGTTATTTTAGGGTCTGCTTCACCCTGATTCCATCTGCTTGTCCCATCAGATGCAGCACGAGGAATGCAGCTTGTCAGGGAATGACACCAGGCAAGTGAGCAGTCTCTCTTGTGGTGCCCGCCTTGTGGAAATTCACACACACACACATCCCAGGGAGTTAAGTGTCCCTACTTATTTTCTGGCTGAGGAATTCTGGGAGATGAAGGCCACAAATCTTAAAGTTGCCAAGTTTGGGGACCTCTGTCATAAAGGGTCTCTCTACCTGATCTAATCTCTTAGGCGTTTTACACTTTTTGCATTTCTAATGTGTTTTTTTTTTGACATGCTAATTGTTTTACATTTTTCCCTGTATGTTGCCCAGCGTAACTTCTCGTGAGATGGGCAACGTATTAAACAGACGGACACTGGAAACAACCTGCCTCCATACAAGATAAGATTCATCATAAAAGCTAAAGCCAGACAATCTTTGTCACAAATGGCAAAAACAGCTGTTCTCCGCATCCCTGCGTCTAAGCAATTCCTGTCACACTGGAGTTCCCCACCCCTGAGTTGCAGCCCAGTACTGGGGCTTTGAGCCGTTCGAAACTGGGACATGGAAGTGCCAAAAGAGCACGTCCCCACTTGTGTGAGCAGTGGGTGCGCCTGCGATTGGAGCTGTGCGCCCATTTGCCCACCACTGTGTGTAACCATCCCCTCTCCCTGGCCACCCGGTCTGCAAAGCCAGAAAGGATGGGGAACTCCCCTGCAACACATATGGCGACATAAGAACTAGGGCGGCCGTGGCATATAGGCCATACAAATCCAATCAATCAATCAATCAAACTGCTTTAACACCAAGTTAGAAGTGCTAAAGAACTTATTCAGAAAGGGGTGAAATTTAATCTTGTATCTTAAATATCTCCTCTAGACCTTCTCTCTTCAGCCTCCACTATCACGTCCAACTGAGATTTGCAAAAACGCCTTGCAATCTCCCACGAAGCAGCTGCTTGAGGTTTGTAGAGGATGGGCCGATTCTTCCCAGTTTGTTTACTTTTCTAGGATTGCTTGGGGTTTCTGGGCTGAAGTGATTAAAGCAAATATTTAGGTTTATTCAAAGAAGCATAAAATACTTATTAGGAAAATTTATATGGCTACCCAACTACTCCCCTGTGACAGAAAATAACAAGTCTAAGCAATGTCAGTATGCTGTCATGTAACAGGTGGGTTGTTCTTACATCCATTTTTTTGGGTAGGTAATGCACTATAAAATCAAGAGGAAACTACAAAATGTCTTTATTGAAAAACAGATTATAACATCTAAGGTTAAATGAAATTCTGACTTTTAATATTAAAATAACTTAGGATAATAGTAAGTAGTTTTTTTTAGATAAATAAATCTATATTCCCCAACATTTATTCTTCAACAATCATAGAAACCAAATGGTAACACAAAAACTCTGACAAGTTTATGAACTAAAAGTGACATTTTAGAAAGATATATACAAACATGGTTAAACTAGTATGTTTGCAGATGTAAACTAGACACATAATATACAAATTGGCCATTTTTTTATTTCCTACAAAAGAAAAATTAACATTGGTCCAAGTTCTTGGAAATAAAACCTATATTCTTTTAAAGAAAATGCAAATATTTCTCAAGAAACAAACTTAATTTAAGTCAAATTATATACTCTAGTTATGGCATTAGTTGAATCACAAGAGTTTAATAGGGGCTAAGAAAAGATTTTTTATCTTCTGTACTTTTGGTTTAACTCAATGGAACTCCCATCAATTTTTTTAATTTCTAAATTATAAGACCCACGTACTTTGAAACAAATATTTCCCCATCCTTAAATCTCTTGATCTCCTTTGGAATCTTAGGTTATGGGGCAGGATGGGTCTTCCAAATATTTACTTTTCATTAAGTGCATCTATCTCGGGTTCCTCGCTGGTGCGCATAGGAATAGGTGGAAAGGAAAAGGAAGGAAGGAGGCTCTCCCATAAATAATATTTTGGCACAAATGTTAAAAGCACTTCATCCCTGTGGAGCCAAATTCTCTGAAGGAAACGGAGAGCCGGCCCTGAACTCCCAGTGTTGGTCTGCAGCTTCCCCCATCTGGCGTCTCTTGGTGTAGCACCCCTTGTCCTTGGGCTGGAGACCCTCCTGCCAAGGAGGAAGGCTGGCAGGCAGCTTCCCGTGGCAGGGCTGGTGGGTAAGTGCCCTTCCTCCAAACTGCCTTCAGCAAAAGAGGCCAGTGGGCAAAGCAGGCAGGCTTCTACGGAGCAGGGCCAGCCCAGCCCTCCAGGGGCCCTGGGTGCCACAGTTCAGCCACTATTGATGGGAGGTAGCGTGTTTCACATTTTTTGCAGAATCTTTTTTGTTGTTGCTGTATGACACTTTCTAGCTGCATTCTCTTTAAAGACTATATTTTTTAAATGAAAAAAGGCATTGAAAAAAAGAGACCTCTTCAGATTTGTGATCAGATTTCGGCAATGAGGGGAGGGGGAAACAAAAATAAAAACAGCAAAATGTTTACGAAGGAAATCACCAGGTTAAGTATCTAAAAAAGGTAATCCCCTGAAATATTTTAGACAAATGAAATGAATAGCCCGGCATGTTTGAAAAATAGCAGCCTGTGTACATATTTTGGCTGTTATGCTTATTTGTGGAAGATTAAGGCAGCGGTAGGAACAGACAAGCTTGACACTAAAATAATCAAGATGCCATAAAACTCGACAGCAAAGGAATGAGAGGCACTTTCCAGAAGGAACCATCTGCAAGAGGAAAAAGGTGGAACCGTTGCAGGAAAACCGAAGGAATTACGGTGACTTTCTAGAAACTTCAAAACCTGAAAAAGGCCCACAGGACCAACCTTAAAAGGGCTGATCTGATGGGACGGGGAGGTGGGGGCTTTGAGCTGCTTACATTCCTCTTCCACTGACTCACCTGATTCTTCCCTCCTCTCAGCCCTTCAGACTTGGGGAAACGTTCCTGCGGCAGCTGACAGGACTATCTAGACCAGGGGTGTCCAACCTTGGCAACTTT